AACATTGTCCAGATGTGAATTGACGCGAGTAAGACTGTCACCATGCGTCATAGCACTAATAACAATAACAATAACAATTAATAATAACAAAAACACTTAAAAAGCAAGAACAAAAATTACTAATAACAACAGAGACATCAATGCTAATGAAATTGATAGTAATAAAAGTGACCCAATCAAAAAATAATTATTATAAGAATAAAATTGATAATAAAGAATAAGAACACTAGTAATCATAATCAAAATTATATTCAAATTCTGTGATAAATCTATCACAAATTATCCTGTTTTGTTTATATTTATCAGTTATGTGATTTATGAATTACCATGACACTTCTTTCATTAAAATAAAGATGATAAAATAAACTATCTGTTCCCTATAAAAGTTAATCTACTCAACNTTAAATAACTTATTAAGTATATATGGATACTAGCTTTTCAACCCAGCGTTGCCCATGTTACTCATTGTTACTCCCGTCGTTCACCCGCGCTTGGGCTTAAATCACAATTTCCGCTATTTTTCCCAAAAAAGTTATCCGACTCAAAAAAAAAACCTAAGAAAATTCCCGTGGTTTCCCGAGTTCCACAATCAAAATTTGAGGCAAATCGGTCTAGGGGTTCATAAGTTATGATAGGACAAACAAGCACACAAACAATCAGAGATAACTACTTTATACATATAAAGATACACCCAATAGAACCTACTTGTTTATAAGGATTGATGTCTCTGAGTCTCTGCTCGCCGCGTTGGTTGTAAACTTGGTGTTCAATAAATCCTCACGTTCCATTTGCTCTCGTTGCCGCGAAGCATAACGGTTTATCTGGGACTAAACGCACATACAATTATTATTAGTGTTGACTATGTATTTTGTGTATTGTGTAGTGTGTAGCTTATAGTGCGTAGTGTGTAGCGTGTAGTGGCTAGCGCATAAAACGTAGTGTATAGAGTGTAGTGCATAGTGCATAGTATGTAGCGTGTAGTGTAATGTGTCAAGTGTACAGTGTAAAGGTTGAAGTTTAAATTGTAAAGTGTGTAGTGTGTAGCTTGTAGTGTGCAGCGTATAGTGCGTAGAGTGTATTGTGTACCGTGTTGTGTGCAGTTTGTAGTGTATAGTGTGTAGACAATGCCACGGACAGTTTCAATTTCATAAACAATTTTGAATTTAGTCATTTTCTTCAACCTTTTTCATGACAGGAGACTTGTTGATTTTTGCAACAAAAAAACAAGGAAATGGTCAAGATTCCTCTTAATCAATTTGCTGATATTGTTTTAATAAAACTTCCATGAACCTTTTCAGCCACCCTTTAATGTAAAGGGTCACTTAAAAAGAATTGACCTCTATTCAAAGCTGACCTGCATGGCCGCATTGATATGCTGTATATCATATTTAAGCTGGTCAACCCTGATCTTGGCGTTCTGTCGACGAGCTATTGGTTCCTTTCCGGCCAACATATCCAGCCGTTCACAGTTGGACCACATGTAATCCAACCTTGATAAAAAAACTTTAAAAGTTATGTTTTGAAAAGAAGTAACCCCTCCCCAGCGTTGCACGTGAAATTTTAATAACACTTCGAAAAAAATACAAATTTTGAAAAAGTACCCATGTGTTTCCTGAAATAGTGTCAGTCAATATAGTTCATCTGTTTGGCCACTTTTGGCCAACATATATTTATGATTGAAGAGCTTTATTATTGTGATATTTAATACATATTTAGGTTCTTTTTATTAATGAGGCCAAGCATTCTTTATGGAAATTCTATTAACTGAAGTGATGAATTTGTTATGTAATGAGTAATGATCAATGTTGTCTATTTGTGCATAATTTTGCATGTTTTTCTCTTTTCTTTTGGAAAACTGTATTTTCAAAATTTATTTAAACAAATTTTAACTACACCATTTATAAATGTATTTATATCTTTGTGTGTGGATAAATCTTTATGATAATAATAATAATATTATAAAAACCATGATTAAATAACAATACAGATAGGACACTAGATGTCGTCTTTTCAAGATTTAGAGGTTTTTGTTCACAATGACCCTGAGGCAGAGGCCCAAAAGAGTTACGCATATGCTGCATTAAATGACAAGACAGATAGAGAGCATACGCGTAACTCCTTTAGGCGCCTGAGGGTTATTGTGAACAAAAAACCCTAAATCTTGAAAAGACTAAAAAATAAAACAGTTTCTTTAAATAAAACTTAATTGATACCAGGTAAATGATAGTTATAACTTTGCATAAAAAGTGAAGGAGGTCACTTTTGAAGAGTCCGATTGAAAGAGACAACTTTGAGGAGTCCTCTTGAGAGAGGTCACTCACAAAGATTCCAATTGAAAGAGGCCACTCTCAAAGAGTCCCATCGAGAGAGGTCACTCTCAAAGAGTCCACTTGAGAGAGACCACTCTCAAAGAGTCCCATTGAAAGTGGTCACTCTCAAAGAGTCTACTTTAAAGAGGCCACTTTGAAGAGTCCCATTGAGAGAGGTCACTCTCAAAAAGTCCCATTGAAAGAGGTCACTCTCAAAGAGTCCCATTGAGAGAGGTCACTCTCAAAAAGTCCCATTGAAAGAGGTCACTCTCAAAGAGTTCACTAGAGAGAGGTCACTCTCAAATGGTCCCATTGAAAGAGGTCACTCTCAAAGAGTCCCTTTGAGAGAGGTCACATTCAAAGAGCAACCTTGAGAGAGGTCGCTTTGAAGATTCCCTTGAAAGGTCACTTAAATGAGTCAACAAGTTTCATTAAAATAAATACCTTCGACTAATCTCAGTCTGAAGTCGGTGGAATTCCTCCTCCCCGACTGCCTGCTCCAACCGAACAAAATATCCCTACAAAAAAGGTTTTAACAGTTAGGAATCAAGCGGAAGCAATGGAAACGAAGTTGCCCCTTTTAAATTTCAAAAATTGTTACAAAAGAGAATAAATTGAGGAAAAACGAGCCCACAAAAAAGATTGTTTTAACACATTATTTTTTATTCGTTTTTTTGCATTTATTTTCTCTCAGGGTCAAAATTTGGTTTATTGTAAGAACAGTAAATCTTTATAATTTTTGATTAGTCCTAAGTAAACATTTAAGATTTAAAATGATTAAGTAACTAATTCGTGAATAACTAATGACTCGTATTTTCGCAAACTCTCGTTGGAAGAGAGCAGATTTGTTCGATCTTTAATTATAATTCGGACTTTTAACTTATCTATTAGAGCTCTCAAAAGGGACCTTTAACTTATCTATTAGAGCTCTGTAAAGGGACCTTTAAGTAATCTATTCGAGCTCTGTAAAGGGACCTTTAAGTTATCTATTCGAGCTCTGTCAAGGGACCTTTAAGTAATCTTTTTAAGCTCTCTAAAGGGACCTTTAAGTTATCTATTTAAGCCCTCTAAAGGGACCTTTAAGTTATGTATTAGAGCTTTCTAAGGGATCTTTAAGTTATCTATTCGAGCTCTTTAAAGGGACCTTTAAGTTATCTATTAGAGCTCTTTAAAGGGACCTTTAAGTAATCTATTAGAGCTCTCTAAAGGGAGTTAGAATACTTAAAGTTACAGTAAGCGTAATTTCAAGTGACACTTTATGCAAAGATTGCAATGCTCGATTTACAACAGTACCATTAAAAGCTTTGTATGATCAAGGTTAAATTAGATTTCAACATTTAAAATGTTTAAAATGTTTTAAATGTTTAAAATGTTTAAAATAATTAAAATGTTAAAAATGTTATAAATTTTAAAATGTTTAAAACAGATTAGATTGTGGTTTCATAACAAAATTGACTATCGCATTTCTACTGCAGGAAGACATGCCGGAATCATAGAGAATTAAATACTTTTAAATCTAAAAAAACGACAATATCTTCCACATTTTTGATCAAATAAAGGTTTCAAGGGTACCTTTCTGAATCGGACTTTGTCATCGTTGCATGGAGGGTCACTTGAAATTACACTTACAGTCCCTTTATGTTCAGACTTTATTTTTACCTGAGTTTGTTCTAGGATACCGTTGGTTTCATGATAAAGGGATTCCATGTTTAAATCAATGTGAACTAAACCAAGAATAAATATATTTGAATTATTTTTCACCCTTGTAAGCAATTAAACATCTTAAAAGTTTTGAAGCTATTTTACAAACCTTTAATAAAATTTGTTTGTTTTAAATATTAATTTTTTTTTAGTATCATTGGTTAACCTTATTTAAAACTTAGATTCAGATTTTCTTCATTCTATTCTGAAACTGTAAATTCTGAATGTATTATGTAGAAATTAGTATTATATGGATACTACACTGTAGTGTACACTAGTGTACGTACAGGAAGTCACAAAAAATGTGAGAATTTAAAAACGTTTTAGAAGTTCTCTTTAAGTCTAATAATTGAGTATAAAAAAATCTTCATTGGCTCCAAGCATTTCATTTATTCATAGAAATCCAGCGACAATATGAATGCAAGCTACGAAGACCAAAGACGATTTTAAAGTCATCTTCATTTCTCAGCTTTTTAATTAGAAGTTCTCTTTAAGTCTAATAATTGAGTATAAAAAAATCTTCATTGGCTCCAAGCATTTCATTTATTCATAGAAATCCAGCGATTTTAAAGTCATCTTCATTTCTCAGTTTTTTAAGGACTCCCTGTATTCATTTCATGTGTGTAAACAGCGACTAGAGTAAATAAATATATAAATGAAGCGGAAACCAACTATTTTCGTATTCTAATAGATGCTACGCACTTTCCAAAGGCTTTTCCCCAAGCAGCAACTTCCCAAGGGTATTTTCCCAAGTGGCTACTTCCTAACTGTGCAATTTCCCAAACGGCAACTTCCCAAGTCTGTCCTAGCCACAACCTTGGGCCTCTTGTCTCTTCGAGCAGTAGTGCTCGGCCATCATTGCAGCCTGCGGCGCATTAGAAGGCCTGGCCCAAGCTTTGTCAAGTTGCCGATTGAGAAATTGCACATTTGGGAAGTTGCCACTTGGGAAGTTGCCACTTGGGAAAATGCCTTTGGGAAAATACCTATCACCTTCTAATATGAAGTGATATAAATTACTAAATTGAAGGACATTTAGATTCTCTGTAGTTCGTTCTCCATTTTCATTTACTCTTTCGTTCTAAACTGAAAAAAAGATTTATTAAAAAAAATAAACATTAAAAATAAAGATACTATTTAGATTTTCAATGGGGGAAGGGGGGGGGGTAATCACTTTAATTGCTTTTTAGAGGACTGTCGGCATTATTTCTAGTAACCTTCTATTTCACCGCTTTATCTGAGGAACGATGATGAAGAAATCGTAGTTTTTCTGCCATTATGAAGACATAATTACGATCATGTCTCTGTTGCATGCAAGTAACATTTATAGAAAAACCGCACTTTAAAATGATCAACTTTATAATAAACAGACTGGTAAATATTCATCATCTTTGTTAGATAAAGGTACCATTGTGAATTGGGGAAAGCAACACTTACAAAGGAGGTTCATTTAAAATTTGTTTAAAGAAGACATTTTGCAAATATTTCAACTCAGAATTGCTTCTAGAAAAATTAGGCTAAAACTGAACAGTACCTTTTAGCCAAGGTTATAATGCAAGGAAAGTTATTTCAGAGGTGTTAGCATCTTTTGTGCTTCAGTGTACTCTCTCTGGGCGGTAATATGTAAACACAAAACGGATGTCATAGCCTGATATGGAATCCATTTTTACATAAAAAATCAATGAAATATTCTGGTCACAGGAAACTTTTATGTAAATTATCAATATTTTCAAAATTCAATTCTTTATCCTCCTCGGATACTAAACGAACACTGATGCATCTATTCTTGTTTACAAATTTGGCCCAGAGAGAACTAGTTTTAACATGTACGCAGAGTATACGCAACTGCAATTAACTTTCCTTGCATTATAACCTTGCTTTTAGCCAATTAATAAACTTCGAGGTGGGTTCAAAATTTCATAAAATCGTTAGAGTTTCAGTTTTATTTCAGATTATACAATTTCTCCANTATATATTTTTTTGAGGGGGGCTTTGGCACCCGTTCGGGCCTGACACCCCCCTATAAGCCATAGATTTTACTGACCCAGCGAAGGGGCTTTCAGGGTAAAGCTCCTCCCCTCATCTCCTGTGTACACCTCTGAATCCAATTCTTTAAAATATTACATGTCAGTGGCAGCGGAGAGAATTAATCCTTTTTTCATCTGTTGCTGGCTCTCTTCAACATTTTCCTTCTTCCCTTCATTTACCAAAGAGTCGATATTCTTCTTATCAACTGTCGAATTTATCTAAATATTGTTAAGTGTTTTTAGTTCAATGTGAGTATACAGGTACTAGGCTTTTAAAACAAAGAAGAAAAAAATTGCCGGATTAAAAAAAAAAATTCGCGGATTTTCAAGAATTTAAATTTTTTTTACAAAATTAAAAACTTTTAAAACACATTTTTAAAAAAATTTTTTTATCATTCATAAACCTTCCCTGTGGTCACGTGATGTCCCACAAAAAATTTGGGCCCGATCGGTTCAGTCGTTTTGACGTTTATTGGATACAAACAAACAGACAGACAGACAGATGTGAAACTCTTAAACGTATCTGGATTGCTTGGATCTAGTTTTATCAGATCAATAAGAGAGAAGGGTTGAATTTTTCTGGAAAGGGAAGAAGACTTTTAGAACACATAATTACAAGTGACCCTCATTGCAAAGATAGCGATGCGATCTCCAATGGTACCCTGTACGTTTTTGACTTTTAATCAAGAACATGTGTAATGCTTCTGTTTATACTCTCAAATAACAAGCGTTTTTGTAGATTAATAAGAAAAAGTCCGAAATCCTTGACCAGTCAAAAGCTTAAAGGGTACTATTGTGAATCGCACATGTCACTCTACTAATGGAAGGTTGCTTGAAATTACGCCTACGCCCTACAGTTCCTTTAAACCAGTTCCAAAGCAGTTACATACGTCAGAGTAAAATGTAAGCAAACTAAACCCTCAAATTACATCTTGTCTCGTAGATTTAGTTTTTGTTATTTTAAACGTGTAATAATTAACAATTAACTTCTTTTCTCTCAAAGAAGAAATCTCAATAGTTAGCTCAATTAAGTTTCGACAAAAAACTGTAAAAAATAAGTTAAGAGAAAATTCTCTTTAAAACAAAATACTAAACCTTGATGAACTTTAAGTAGCAGGATCAGAATTCATTCTTTTAACGCGAGGGATCAAGATCCATATTCAAGACAGATAAATATCAAAACTACTTTACCTTTTTCTGTGATGAAGATCCTGATTGCGCAATCAATTGTTTGTGTTTATGTTGATCCTCCTGAGGTTGCTGTTGCTGTTGGCCTTCTTGCTGTGGCTGTTGAGCCTCCTCAAGAGGTTGAACAAGGTATATTTTATTTTCGGGTTCTTCTGCTGACTCCAGGAGCTGAGGACTTAACTGGAAATAAGAGTATTTTAAAAGTTACTAAAATTAAAATTCCCTGAAAATATGGAACAATCCTTGCTTCTAAAGATTAAAACTTTCATAATCTAAATCTTTTCATAACGCACTCAAATCCTTGTATTCAAATTTTCACCATTTTGACATTTAGGATAATTAGTTCAGTCGATGAAACACAACGCTTTACCATCAAAAGTTTCGCATTGAGAAAGTACTTTTTAAAAGTGCAGTAAATGTGATTTCCACATTTAACATCTCCAGCATTTTTATTTTATTTCAGCTCTTTAACCCTATTACGGCTGGGAGGGGGGGGGATGTTTTCCACCCCCCTGTGTTTTTTAAATAACCTAAAAACGGCTTACATTAGAACGCTTAAACTTCTTCACTTTTTCAACATAGTTGTGAACAATTGTTGCTAATACTTTTTTTGGATGAATGGGAAAGGGTGGAGGAAAGTCAAACGGCGGGCCGGTGATTAAAAAAATCAGAAATGCTAATTTTTTTTTTTATTAATTAAGCTACAGGGCTAAAATTTAAATATTTAAAAATCCCTTGAAAAATTGAAGTAATAATATGTGTCACATGTTAATATTTGTCAAAATTAAAACAATTATTTTCAAACATTTTTCTACGTACTTTTTGAACTTTTTAAAAAATCCCCCTTGCACCCTAACGATTAAAGTTAGGTCTAATTTTTTTTAATGAGCAGGGCTTGAAAAGTTGGATTAAGGACATGTGTTACACTCCCATATCTCCTAACTCAACTCTAAGGGCAAATCATAGGAGGGGGGGGGGGGGACACCCAGCCTTTTTTAGGTAAAAATAGCCCAGCCAGGATTAAAATTTTTGTACAGTTTTCATTTTATTCATATTTATCTAATCTTTTTATTCAACATAGACATTATCAATATTGTGCGTTTGCAATAGATTATTTTACAGAGAGGGGAGAGGAGGGGGTAGGAGGGGGGGGCTTTATTACCTTTGGTTTTTGTTCAAATATTCTTCTTAATGATCTCTTGTGAATATCTTCTTCGATATGAATTACTGTTCTGAAAACAGAAGCAAGTATACTTCTTCAAGGTAGCCTCGCGATTTTAAAGTTATCTTCTAGTCTATATTTAAAAAAAAGTTTAAAACGAAAACTAAAAATAAAACATTTTTTGTTCCTACCAAAAATCAGGGGTTTAAATTCTTACTTTGAAGGGAGTAAGCTATGTAAGGTAGTTGAACTGAGTATGCAGTATTGTGGAAAGCTTCTTTTGGATTCATTTGAGACATATAAAACTTTTTAAAGATCCGTAAATCCTGAGTTTAAGCGCAAATTCGACGTTTAAAACTACTACTTGAGGATGGATACGTTTTCAGAATCAGTTTTTTAAAAAATAATTAAATAACGACAACGAAAATTAAAATAAAAATTATACAGTAATCTAATTAGATGGTGAGGAACATATTTCTCAAAAGAAATTTGTCAATAAAGAAATGCTAAAATCGATTATTTCGTTTTGATTATTAAATTGAATTTCTTATTTTCTTTGAATTTATTCGCAGATTTCTTCAAACTCCTCAAATGTCGTCTTTTCAATAATAATTCTAGAAAATCTAGAAAACCCAGCATTCTTAATAGTATAAAATCCCCCCCCCCGGCTACCTTGCCAGCTCTCGTATTTGTGTAGACTGTTTCTCAACTCTGAATTCCAATTCAAAGATTTTATTTTTTATTCTGTCCCGTTCCTGCTGCAGAGCCTCCTCTTTTTTCATCTCCTTCTCAGAACTCCTAGAATAAGGATTAAGGAGTCATAAAGGAACTCCGACTCAAACTCTTAAAGAATCAAGAATTCTTTTGTCGAAAATATCCACTCCTTGCCTAACCTTCCTTATCCCATTTGTCATTTTTAATGCGAAATTATGACAATGGTTAAAAAAAAATTCTATTTAAAAAAGAACAAATTGTAAAAAAATCTTGAATATAAGAATGACGGATACTATGAATTAATTACCTTGAATATTCGTAAATAAAGATGGTGGATGCTACGGATATAATTACCTTGAATATTCGTAAATAGAGATGGTGGATGCTACGGATATAATTACCTTGAATATTCGTAAATAGAGATGGTGGATGCTACGGATATAATTATCTTGAATATAATAATGACGGATGAATATTACATGAATGGCGGATGCTATGGATATAATTACCTTGAATATTCGTATATGCTACGGATATAATTACCTTGAATATTCGTAAATAGAGATGGTGGATGCTACGGATATAATTATCTTGAATATAATAATGACGGATGAATATTACATGAATGGCGGATGCTATGGATATAATTACCTTGAATATTCGTATACAAGAATGGCGGATGCTATTGATATAATTACCTTGAATATTCCTTTACATGAATGGCGGATGCTATGGATATAATTACCTTGAATATTCGTATATAAGAATGGTGGATGCTATGGATATAATTACCTTGAATATTCGTATAAAAGAATGGTGGATGCTATGGATATAATTACCTTGAATATTCGTATAAAAGAATGGCAGATGCTATGGATATAATTACCTTGAATATTCGTATAAAAGAATGGCAGATGCTACGGATATAATTATCTTGAATATAATAATGACGGATGAATATTACAAGAATGGCAGATGCTATGGATATAATTACCTTGAATATTCGTATATAAGAATGGCGGATGCTATGGATATACTTACCTTGGATATTCGTATAAAAGAATGGCGGATGCTATGGATATAATTACCTTGAATATTCCTTTACAAGAATGGCAGATGCTATGGATATAATTGCTTTGAATATTCGTATACAAGAATGGCGGATGCTATGGATATAATTACCTTGAATATTCGTATATAAGAATGGTGGATACTATGGATATAATTACCTTGAATATTCGTATACAAGAATGGCGGATGCTATGGATATAATTGCTTTGAATATTCGTATACACGAATGGCGGATGCTATGGATATAATTACCTTGAATATTCGTATATAAGAATGGCGGATGCTATGGATAAGATGATGAATTCAGACAATATTTCTGAGCCCTAGAACAACGAGCAATGATTCAGGAGGTCTTCAAAGATAAGAATAAGAAAATAATGTGTTTTAATCCCTTCAGATATCACTTCTCTACATCTTATGCTCTTCTTTATCTGATGGATTTGACCTCTTTTGGATATCTCTACAGATAAACAGGAAGATCTATTCAATGAAGTTTACTTAATTTGGATATTTTTCACGGATCAACAGTTTTCGCATATTTAATTAAAAAAGCATGGATAACAACATTACAAAAATTATTATCATATAAATGATGAGTCTGGTGATAGATTGATCATTTTTAAGGGTTTGTCATATTGATTTCAAATTAAAGCCCATTTGAAAAAGTAGCATGCCCGCTCTGAAATGGTACTTTCTAAATCATAGCCTGAGATTGATATCCTTGTTTTATATCTCATATTTGTTAATTTCAAATAGCAGTCCCGGTGAGTAATTTAAAATTACGTCCCTCAAAGTAAGGATTCAAATGATAGAAATTGCTCGCGTTCCTGTTCGATAGCTTTGGTTTCGTTCAGCTTTGGGACATTTGTCACCTTTCCGCCAACATTCAAGGTTTTCATCTTCAGCTTGATCTCATACCAGTGGAAAGCCTGGGCTATTGGGATACATACATACTCTCTAGTAGATACAAATATAAACACAATGGGGTATTTATCTTAGCTTTTAGTTTATGCAGTTCATAATCTTTTTTTATTTGAAAAAATGTCAAAAATAATAGGAAAATTTTCCTGTTTCCTCATACAATGTCAAAAAAACTTGAGGAAATATAATTTTTTTTTCATTCTGACATGCCATCAACTTTTCCTGGGCTCATTTGACAAAAATTGTTTTGTCGTTTATTTGACAGAAACAAAAAAACTAACAGACGAACAAAAAAAGCAAACAAATTTATACATAACAAAATAAAATAAAATCATAATATTAGCATAAAATATTTACAATCTCTATCAAATATATTCATTACTAATAGATAATTGCGTTGTTGTGTTCAATTATTTATATATAATAATTTCAGATATTTGTTTCCTAAAAATTCTGTAATTTCTGGCTTCCTTCGCAATACTCTTAGCTATAGGTTTAGCAATCTAAAATCAAATAATTTAGAAAAAAATATATACAAATCGATTTTGTTGAGCCGATCCATCATAATTTTGGAAAATGGAACTAGTTATATTAAATGCAATTTAAACAATAAATATGTAACTTTTCTTTTCCTTTCCCCTTTTATAAGACTCGGGGGGGGGGGGGGGTATTCCCACAACCTCTTCTTTTGGAGGTTTTTAAATATTGTCTCCTGAAAAACTTAATTTGGTATGTTTGGTTATATTTCGTAAATATATAACTTCTTACTTCCTATTGTTTGCCTGGTCAGTATAGCTTAGTATTAGAAATATAAAAATCTTGAATTCATTAAATTAATTGGAGATAAATCCTTACTAGCAGGAGGACGTGGAACACCCCAGGGCAGGGATAATACATAATTATTAAAAAATATATTTTTCATTTTTTGGAAATTGTGAGACCGTGGGTGAGAGGGCTTTTCCATAATGACTCCGTTAAAGGGACTGATGGTGGATTTAAGAAAGTTTTCGTTACAAAACAGGAATGTCCAATTCACAAAAAGGTATCATAAATTGCGTTATCTGATCAAAGATGAATGAGATATCCATGTTATTTCTCAGTGAAAATTGATTATTTTTAATTGAAGTTGCCTAATGAAAGAGACTTGCGGATTTATGCTGCAGAAACAATGACTCTGATTCGGGCATGCCAATTAAGGGTAAAAGATTTTTTCACAAATTTGATAGGAATCAATTTCAAGAAGTGTATAATATTGTATTGTTTTATTCTTAGAAACATTTACACAAGGCATTATTGACCCGCATAAAAATTAAGAGCCACGTGAAATTTTAAAAACAGTCTCTTTTATAAAACCTGTTTAATAAGAAGGAAACCAAGTTTAGCAACTGGAAAGGCCGCAGCCACCATTTTCTCTGAAAAGTAAATTAGAAAATATAACTTTATCACATAAAAAATAATTTCTGAATTCATTTTGAATTGATTTTATAAAATTCGGAATAAAATTCCTTAAACATTTTCATTCGTGTTTTTTTCTAATCATAGAAATATAAGATGTTTTGACGAAATAAATTTTAGCTAATTTTTCAAAATCTTAAAACTCAAAAAAGAATAATTTTAATCACGCGTTTACAGAAATCTGTCCGGAAGGGAAGGGGGAGAAATGCTAAACCATTCTTTATTAGGTAACCAAAGTCTTCACTTTTACTAGGGGGTATAGCCCCTGATAATTTACATCAAAAAATGCATAACTAACTAATAGGCGCGAATATCACATACTCTTCTGGTGGGTGAGGGGGGGGGGTCATGTACACCCCACCCCCTATAGCTGTGCCACTGACTACACTGCACAGAGTGCATGACTACATGATAACCACTAGGGACTAGAGAGCTGCTATAACTTGAACCTCCACAAGAAATTGAGGTTTGGCCAGGGCTGACTCGACGCAGTATCGAACACCCTAAAATACATTTAAAATGATAAAACAATTTTCAGGTATTTTCATTTAGAAAATAAGATTTGGGAGAAAATCTTAAAATTGGACAGCATACCTGATTTCAAAGGTCTGGAGGAGGGGGGAGAGGGGGGGGAATAATATTTCGATAAAAGGTGCATACCTGATTAAAGGCGCGTTCCCCTCACTTCAACAAACAAATCTACCTTGTTTTGAGGATCAACCCACTGGTTCCAAACTTTATTCATCTCCGCCATATCATCATTGATATTCTTCAACCAAATACGGGCCTCAAGAATCCTGAATGGAGCAAAATGTCAGAAAAAGTAAAAAAAAAGTAAAAGGTATTTCATTTTCTGGATTTCTCAACTTTGACCTATTTCAGAATCTTTTTCAAGCTGATCTTATAAATTCAAATATTCATACTAAAATACAATGAACAAAAATAATAACAAAAAATGGTTTACAATTTCGAGCGTATGATAAAAATACCTGGATTTCCTTAAACCGGCCAATGTTAACAATACCTGGATTTCCTTGAACCGGCCAATGTTAACAATACCTGGATTTACTTGAACCGGCCAATGTTAACAATACCTGGATTTCCTTGAACCGGCCAATGTTAACAAAAACTGGATTTACTTGAACCGGCCAATGTTAACAATACCTGGATTTACTTGAACCGGCCAATGTTAACAATACCTGGATTTACTTGAACCGGCCAATGTTAACAATACCTGGATTTGCTTGAACCGGCCAATGTTAACAATCGATCTATCTTCTCCAAACATTCACTTGTCTGTTGGCTTACATCACTGCTATCTATCTTGCTCACGTCTCCAACCTATAGAAGGGGAGAGACTTGAACAATTTTATATGCCAATGTTAACAATACCTGGATTTACTTGAACCGGCCAATGGTAACAATACCTGGATTTACTTGAACCGGCCAATGTTAACAATACCTGGATTTACTTGAACCGGCCAATGTTAACAATTGATCTATCTTTTCCAAACATTCACTTGTCTGTTGGCTTACATCACTGCTATCTATCTTGCTCACGTCTCCAACCTATAGAAGGGGAGAGACTTGAACAATTTTATAATTTACAAAGCTTACAAGTAAAAACTTCGTCATATTTTTATTTTACAAGACTATTGGAGGTCTACATTATATTTCTTTCCTTAACTCAGTTTTTGGGAGAAATTCTTTTCGTTTTCCAATTGTTTGATTTAAAATTTAAGTTTTAAAATTTTTTCAATCAACAAAAAAAATCCATAACAATAGATAAAATTTTATATTGTTTTACTGTAAGCATGGAGAGAGAGATGTTAGGCACTTTCCCAAAGGCCTTTTCCCAAGCGGCAACTTCCCAAGGGTATTTTCCCAAGTGGCAACTTCCCCATGAAGGAAATGGGGCAATTTCCCAAATGTACAATTTCCTTAAATAATTTACTACATTTTTTAAAAACAAGTAATGGATGCAGCGCTCGGCCTTCTAGCCCTTCTTAGACGCAACGCTCGGCGCCCTAGCCAATCCTAGCCGCAACGCTCGGACCCATTTTAGGCTGCGGCGCCTCAGACGCCTAATTTAACCTTAAATAATGCACTATATTTTCTTAAATAATGTAATATTTTTTCTTTAACACAATTTATATCTGCAGCACTCGGCCCCCCTAGCATCAGAAGGCTTAAACTAACCTTGAATTATAATAAGGATCGTTTAATACATTTTTACCCTTTGAAGAAAGGATGTAGGCCGCCAACCTAGCCTTAACTAACTGAGAGAAACTGAAAGAATTTTTTAAAGTTGCGTATTTTCTATAAAAAAGTTGGGAAATTTTTTTTAAATGTAGAACTTAAATGTTCATTTAACACTTCCTGTACGATCTGGAGATCTTTATATGACTATTGTTCAGGTTGATTCACGAAGCATGAGACTCTGCAAGTGTTCCTCCAGAAGCATTCAAAGATCTAATACTCTATCTACAAATATTTATTCTACATTTATGAGTTTTATCCTGAAAACTATATTTATTGGACTTTTTAACCTGAGAACAAGAATTTTATATTACATGCCTATATATGTATTCTCAAAGTTTACTTTTAAGAATAAGAACTTATATTTAAACAAACATTTAATGGCCCTTATGTTTCAGAACATGATGGGATAGATTGTATTTTATTAAAGATTGTCCTGTTAGCTCCAGGTTGTGCATTCAAGGTTTATTAAACATCTAAATAATTGTTTTATGATTTTCAATGAACATTAAAGCTCTATTCAAAGCTGAGAAATCAATCGATGTTTATAAAAGTGAATTCAGTTAATAATCTTGTGCTACCACCTGTTCTACCTGAACTCTGAACTCTAAATATAAACAGGTGATCAATTGAGAAACTCCAGTTAAGCTGACTTGGAATTTCATTTAACTTTTGGTTTATCTTTAGATAAGCCTGGTTCCTCTGATCTGAGTTGCTGCTCAGATCCTCACCATCACAAACCTGCAGTAGCTGCCATCTCTCCTCTGCTGCACCATCTCTCCGCCGTTGCTGCGATCTCTCCACCATAGCTGCCATCTCTCCCCTGTAGCTGCCATCTCTGCGCTGTAGCTGCCATCTCTCCGCCGTAGCTGCCATCTCTCCGCCATGGCTGCGATCTCTCTTTGGATGAAGTAGAACTACACTTCTCACCAAACCCCACAGCTTGAAGATAAAGCTGAATTATAAAAGGTGATGAGCAACAGATTGAGACTAGCTACTCAAAGGATTTAATAAACTAATTTGATCCTGTTTAGATATCTCCCCTAACAACCCTGAGTGCTTGATCAAGTCCTGTAACCTTTAAGCTGGTCTCACCTGTACCTTCTATTCCCCAGCCTCTGTCGGGATAACAATAGGTACATATTAGTTTCTTGTGATGAGTGTGAACTATTCTTTCGAGTTATGAACAATTGAAAGTTAAATACTAAATCTTTCAAATGAACTCACCATGATATTTTTAGTTGTGTACGAGATATGTTGGCTAAGATCTTTTGTCGGAATGAGTATAAGCACTGAGACTAAAAGTTGACTATTTTTGAGTTTTGACTTAGAAATTGAGCGCCTATCAATGCCAGGACAGTTTTGAATGTCGTCTTCGACGAAAATACTTGAAATAAGGTTCTTAGGTCAAAAAATGTCTTTTAAAGCTCCAATTCAGTCTGTCATCTATCCTTCTGACATCTCTCTATCCTTGTTGTATAAACGAGGTGCGCTGGTGAAAGATGTATGCCCATCTTAATGTTAATAGTATGAATACCTGTGGATCTAAGGTATTGGTATTCTTGGTTCTATCCTAGACCTTGAAAATGGTACACTTCCTTCATGGGGAAAATTCAGTTTTCCCTTCATGGGGAAGTTGCCACTTGGGAAATTGTCATTTGGGAAGTTGCCGCTTGAGAAATTGCACATTTGGGAAGTTTCCCTTGGGAAAATGCCTTTGGGAAAGTACCTAACACCCTTGTAAATATGCATATACTCGAAAATAGCAGTAGGGAAGATGATAAGTTGCCTCATGTATAATGTATTGAGATATTTGTCCATTGAAATAGGATTCGCCAGGCTAAAGCCGAAATAGAGTTAGTCGTTACGAAAAACCGAAAGTCATATGAGGCGGAAGAAAGGTGGAGAGTCTGTCGCGGGAGCTCCGGCAATATTTAAATCATTATTATCATTTATACGCTGTGAATACATTTTTTCCTCTACTCTGTAGACTTATTCACGTCAATTTCAGGCTTTACATTATCTTTACATTATATTTACTTTCGGCCACTTTTAAATATGGTAACATTACTACTTCTTAACTTTTCTAATTCAAAACATTTTCCTAAGAAAAGCTATATCCGATTGTTGAAAAAAACATTTTTAATTTATAAATAAAATACACCCGTTCAGACTAAAACGTTTTATTTCATATTTTTATTCATATATATTCTAAATTAAGAATTTTTACCTGTCCAGCAATATAAACTGTTCCATTATGAATTGTAACACCGGAAAACCTTGGGTCAGATGTCTCCAACCGTCTGCAAAAGTTAAAGAATAAAAAAAAACCACTCAAAATGTAAAAGTTTTCGCAACAACTTTACCATAAGAGCTTTAGATTGATTTCCTCGAAAACATTTTTACAGTTTTAGAGGGGTTTGAAACTCATTTGAAAATATTAATGAAGTACAATTTGATTAATTAAAAATTTTGTCGTAGCTTAATCCCCCCCACACAAATAAGGTATGTTCGAGTGGATTGCCAACATTTATTGAAAGGTTTTGGTGCTGAATTTGGGAGAACCAAAAAAGTCTCAAAAAGAATGAAAAACCTTGCCTTTTAATGCCTAACTTTTCATTCTTTCCCCCCCCCCCCC